GTATACCCATTTTTTTTTCTGATTCTCACAGTAATCCTGCCTGTTAAGTATCCTATTTCTTATTTCCTCAAGTGGAGAAACTGTGGCCCACAGAGATTGAATGATTTGCTAGGTATATTAGTTTGCTATTATTGCTATAACTTATCGCCACAAACTTCATGACTTAACACAACATAAGCTTAAAATTCTATAGATTAGATGTCTAACTTCAGAGGAAAATTCTCTTCTCTGCCCTTCTCAGCTTCTAGAGATGGCCTGTGTCCCTTSCTCATGGCGGCCTCCTTCCTCTACCTTCAGAGCCAGGAGTGGAGGTCTGGGTCCTTCCCAACTTCCATCTTTGAGACTGTTCTTTCAGATCGTGTCTCGCTCTGACCTCAACTATGAAAGGTTCTTCCCCTCTAAGACTCCCGTGGTCCTCTGGGCCAACACAGGATAATCTCATCCATCCTTAACCTGATCACACCTCAAGGTCCTTTTTCCAGGGACCATTCACATTTTCTGATGACCAGGGTGTAGGGTAGGGTAGGCATTTGGGGGTAGGGTAGGCATTATTTTGTCTTCCATATCAAGGTTAAATATTGTTAAAGGGGCTATGTCTGGAGTTTATTGACTGGGTCACGAAGTCCTGTTGACTGTACCTTCAGCCATCCCCATTTCTACCATCAGAGGCCAAGCCACATTGTCTCTCAGCAGGATGACTTCCATAGCCTCCCATCTCTTCCCCTGTCCCATCCCTGTTATGGTTTAGATATTAGGTGTCGCCCAAAAGCTCATGTCTGAAATAATGCAAGAGCATTCAGAAGTGAAATGATTGGGTTATGAGAGCCTTAACCCAATCAGTGAATTAATCCCCTACTGGGGATTAACTGAGTGGTAACTGAAGGCAGGGTGTGGCAGGAGGAGGTGGGCATTGGGGGCATGCTCTTGGGGTCTATATCTTGTATCTGGTGAGTGGATTCTCTCTCTCTCTCTCTCTCTCTCTCTCTCTGCTTCCTGACCATCATGTGAGCTGCTTCCCTCCACCATACTCTTCTGCCATGATGTTCTGCTTCATCTTGAGGCCCGAGGAATGAAGCCAGCTGTATATGGACTGAGGCCTTTGAAATTGTGAACCTCCTAATAAACTTTTCCTCCTCTAAAATTRTTCTTATTGGGTCTTTTAGTCAGAGCAGTGAAAGAGCTGACTAAAACAATCCCTTGCCCCAATCCACTCTTAACAAAGTAGCCCAAGGGACCCTCTAAAAACCTCTCGGGTCATGTAAATGCTCTGTTCCAGCTTTCCAATGACTCTAGATTTCACTCTGAATTAAGCACAAAGTCCTTACAATGACCCACAAGGCCCTCGGTGGCCCTCCCCAACCCCAGGAGTCTCTGTGCACTCTCCCTTCTCACTCTGACCCAGCATCTGGCCCTCTGCTTTCCTCAAACACAGGAGGCTGGTAGGTGGGGACTCTGCTTCTTCATTCTTCCACCACTCCAGAGCCTTGAGGGGAGGGCATGGCCTGGTTCTGAGATGCCTCTCCGCTGCCCGGAGGTCTGAGAGGAGAAATGAGAGGAGGATAAATACCTTCAGACTCCACTGCCTTTTTTTCTGTAAGTGGCTGCCTCTGTTTCTCTGGCTAATCCCAACATCTTGCTGATCAGTGTACTGAAGCTGCAGTCTAAATGCCCACTTTTTTCTTGGGACTCAGGTGTGAGATTTGTAGGAGTCTCTGAAGGGCTTCTCCACTGCAGAGTTTCCTGATGCGGGGAATATGGCTGGCTCCCTCGACACACATAACACAGCTCAGCTTCTGCCCATGGGAGCACAACACAGAGTTGTGGATAACTGAGTTGCTGGATAACTCTTGCCCAGGGGACTGGACTTCTTGGGGGCCTATCAAGACAGCTCAATGGGAAACCTTCCTCTGTGTCAAGTCATACCCATAAGAAACTCATTCATCTTGGAAACATACAACCATGAGATCGGGGGGCGGCTCTACAGCAGTCCCTCTCTCCACATGCCACTTTCCTTGCACAGTTATGAGGCATAAGAGAAATGAAAAGTCTGCTTCTTGAGTGGATTCCTGCCTCAGSCCTGGTATTTACCAGAGATTCTCTTGGAGCCTCTCACACTTGGCTTTGGTGAGCATGGGGAGCACTTCCTTTACGTGTTACATTTTTCCATCCCCTAATGGCTCCCTCAGACCCCAAATTCAAGTCTGCAAAGACAATAAAAAATGATATTTTCAAGTCCCATAGAAAAAGTGAAGAGTGAGTGAGTGAAATAAGTAAAGGGAGAAAAAACTTATGGCATCCTAACTAATATTCTCAAACCTTTGAAAAGAAAACATTAGGTGCTAGTATTACCATTTGTTGGGGAGTTTCTCAGAACTGATAGTAGCAAATATAGGAACTTTTTACTATGAGCTAGGCATTGTTCTCTAGGTTGTACATTCAGTCATTGACTTCTTACAACTGTTCTCTGAGGGATAAACTATCTTTCTCCCTATTTTACATCTGGATGAGCCTAGAAAGGTGAAGTGGAGGGGCCAGAATTCCAACCCAGGAAATAGGCTTAACTCYTAGACTTTGCTGTTTCTGGTTTGTTTCTTTAAAATACAACAAAACCAAAACTCCATATAATACTTTCATCCATAGAGTTACTCTTCCTACAGGAAGAGGCAGGCAAGGGTATAGCTAATAATATGGATTCTGAGCCACACRTCTATAGTTCTGGCAAAGCCCAGTGTCTTGTCCTGATTGAGTCAAASAAGCTTTCTGAGTTTTAGCTCCTTTTTTTGTGAAATGGGAAAGATATGCCCATCCCATAGGTCTCCTGGGGGAACAATACTGTGATATTTGAAAASCACTTGGCATGGTGTCCACTTCAGAAGAATGGTACCTACTACAAACCTTGATAATCACTGTCATATGAATAACCAAGGGGACCTCTGTGTTGTATGCAGCATGAGACAAAAAGGATCCTTTCATTTATTAGGAGAAACCTTACCAATGATGATGGGAAATGATGATGGAGGACAAGGATTCAGGAAAAGAGTTAGGAGCTCGCCATAAAGTGAACAGAAGGTTGTTTATGTCTGAAACATTTGGGTAGATGGAGAAAGCAGCCTGGTGGGCAGGCAGACATGGTCACGAGAGGACCTGGGATGGACTTGGGTGTTAAGCTTGGGAGGACTGGGACAAGGCTGGACAAGCCACTGAGTGTGGGAGCTCAGGGTGCATCACTGAGGGAAAGTCCAGGCATCTCTCCTGGGATTTCTCAACTCTCCTTCTCCAAACCTAAGAAAAGAATAACTTTCAATGGGGAGGAAACTGAAAGCCAGTGAGTTTCTGAGGAAAGAAGTGGACGTGCTGGCCCACAGCCCCAAGGTACACAGTCAGCTCAACCCTACTCAGTACTATAAAGGAGATCTACTTATTTTATAATTAGCACATGATAAGAAGACTGCTTTATTTTTTTCTTCATCTTGGCATGAGGTTCCAGAATGTCCAGTTCCAACACTGGAATGCTATCCAAAGATTTCATATCCAGAAACTTCCGCTGTTGTGTTCCTGGTATGTGAGTTCTGAGATAGTCTAGAAGGGAGCCAAAGCCAGTGCCTTTTTGATAACAATTAAATCTCTGGGTTTATACAATGTGACATGACATGAGAGGCATTGTTCAGCTCTTGGCATGGCTATGAGTGCCTGGGGCAGAACACCAAAGGAAAATGCTTACTTTGAAAGCTTTCTCAGAACAAATCTGAGGGAATTCTCTGGTTAATGCAAACACACGGACCAAACAAGTACTGGTTTGCTTGGGAGTACATGGAGCTGGCAAGCCTCACTTGGCACAAGAGCATGAGTCATGCTTCACTGTAATGAGGGATCTTGGGGGTCTATAATGAAGACTGTGTGGTATTTCCCCCATGCCTCTTTGGAACGTGGGTTGATTGTATACACAGTTTCGAAGAAAGGCCATCAAAAARAACACAGTTCCTAAAACCTCTGGGGCTTTACAAGAAAACTGAATAGGATAAAAATGAACCCTCAGACATATACCACGGTTTCCAGAGAGCAAAACCTGCCTGTCCCATAGGTGGAGGTGTGGGTATGAGAGGTTGACTTTTAAGCTCATGTTAAAGGCAGTTTCAGGTATGTTTAGCTTTTGTAGCTTCCTTGCAGTGACTGTAGCTTCCCTACTCGATTCTTCTGAAAGGGAACAGTCATTGAATATCAAGTTTATATGTAAAAAGCAGGGAAGTTCATTTCCAAGACATAACGTTAATCACATTTCATCTGTGATCTTTTGGACTTTTTCTATCAGACCAAGTCAATACTTAAGGTATTGCATGCAGAAAAACAAAACAAACAAACAAACAACAACAATAACAGGAAACCAACTCTGGAAAGTAACTAGGACTCTTTCCCAGTGCTTGCAAATGGCTCCTTACTAGTTGATGGAGTGTCAGTTGGGATGAACTTCTCTGCATGTTTATTTTGGGGTCCACTATCTGGATGCCCCTTGGATCCAGCCATATAGTGTGACTTCCTGGCAGCAATTTCTCCTTCTGATCAGATCCGGGGCATTATGTGATTGTTTATGCATAGTATGTGAAGTCCTGGACTGGCTGTACTTTATATTTCTAGGCTGGATGAAGCAAATACTCCATGGAGACTGGGCCTCCCAAAGAGCTCTGGGCTCTTGGCGGGATGAAGTACAGTTGTGGGGTGTTTGGAAGAACATTATCCAGTCCTTCAGGCTTAGAGGAGGGGATGGTGACCCAGAACTCAGGACAAAAGTGTCTCAAGAGACAGAAATGCTGGTGGGAGGGACAGCTCAGTCAAGAGGAGTATGTGTGTGTTAATATACCAAAGCAGATGTGGAATTATAAAGAGAAATTAGTACTCCTCTATGGTAAGATAAATAAATTTTGAAGTATTAAAACATGATAAAAACTTAAATTAATGTGAAGTAAACTTGCCAGGCAAAAACTCTTATCAGATAAATTTGTCACCTTACTCTTGGGACTTCACTGTGTCCAATAGACCACATGGAGATTTCTTGTGGCTGATGTACCCCAACATTCAACCTTCAAACAATTAAACACACTCTATATGTAATAGCTAATTCTGGAACAAGTTTTAAACACATTCAGAAAATTTTCGCTCGCTTCCTATTAAAGTTGCTGTTCTAAGAGGTCATTTCTTCGGTCCTTATTTCATGTTTGTTGCAATTTCTCCACCCCACCCCCAACAAAAGCGACAACAAGAAAATCCCAAGCTAAAAAGCCCTTAAGCTATAAAATTGGTGTCCAAGAAAAACATTTAGTTTGAAAAAAGAGTTGAAAAATGTAGCCTTGGAAGAACCACTGCTTACATGGGATTGTTCAACAAATTCCTGCTGTGTGAGGTTTGGCATATACTTTCTAAAAATATAAGCATCTGGGGAAACGAGACAAAGCCCAGGTCTTGGACCAAATGAGGCACACAGTGTGAATCTGTTAGTGATTATATCCATAATGCAATATGTGCCCAAATTTAGCTGTGCAAAATCTCATACAATATGAAGGCCCAGCAGGCACGGTCCTTACCATAATATATAGCCCACAGAGAAGGTGCATATGGCTGTGAGTCCACTGCTCCTGCTGGGATACTGATGGTGCGATGTCCTCATCTCGATTAATATAAAGGGCAAAACCGTCGTGTGCTGGAAAAGAACAGAGACTAGGTGACACAGATTCTTATCATTGCCTTTCTACAGTTGTATTTTTTCTCCAGTAGGAAAATGACAGTGTAAATTCCCAAGAAGGGGCCAGAGTAGAAAGTATATAACACGCCAGAGAGGGAGAAAGACACGACAACATGTCCCGCAACAACTGCTCCATTTTTCTTCTGTATCTTAACTTTTGAAATTTTGTTTTATTTGATGTCCATGATAGGAAATTTTGTTGCCATAGAAAGAGGTAGAGCAAAAAGAACTGGAACAAAAATAACCATAGCTAACATTTAGGGGGGATGGGTTGTTGTTTCTTTCCTCCTTGGTCATATTATTTATATATCTTTAAGATCATACTGTGCATGCAATTTAGTTTTAGATTTTTATCTCACTATTGTAGCATGAGAATTTTTGTTATTCCATTTTAGAAATTCTTCTAGACCACCAACCCTGACCATAACTGCTTAAAATTCTATTATGTGKATGTACTAAAATTTATTCAACCAATTCCTGTCCTTGGAAATCAGACAGTAAAGGGTTTTCAATTTTTCATTTATTAGAAATGTCATTATCAACTTTTTAAAATAGAACTCTTTGAAGGTCTGAATGTTAAAGTATTTCCTTGGAGTTAAAGTATCTGAAGATTTTAAAGCTACTGACACCTACTGCCAAATTATGTGTGTATCAGCATCAGATTAGGAAACAACATCAAATTTGCTTCCCAAAAGGCTTTGCCAGTATGTACCAGCAGTACATAGATTTAAATATGATGTTTGAAGGCAGAATCCCAAGAAGTTAAGTGGAACATTCCCTCAGTCTTTCTGATCCAGTGGTTACTCTATATACTAAGTACAAGGGACCAGAATGGAGATGAAATGTATCTACCCAAAGGGTAAGAAGGAAATTCAAGTTCTTAAATCCCTCTGAGATCCAAAATATTCTTTGGTACTGAAATATGGTAGCTAKACATAAGATTCCAAGAGCTTCTTAGATAAAAGTGTGTCAGGATATATCCTTACTTGTCAATTCTAGAGTTTCTTAAAAGTGCAAAGATGGCAGAAATGACTGAAAATCGATCTGTTGGCAGGGTTGAATTTTATTTAGTAACTCCTGAACAGCCATGGAAGAATCTTTGTCCTGCTCATGCTGTGTTGTTTGCATATGCAAAGAAAAGTAGACAAGTTAATGTCCTGATTTTCAAACTCATATTATAACAAGTATTTCAGCAAAAATGAAGCCAGGTGGCAGGTAGGTGTTGGCAGGTCAAAGACATGCTGGGGATATCAAGGTAAGCATCTCTGGAGCAATTTATTGTTAATGTCCATAGACAAAATAGGAAAAAAAAAGTGATTTTGAAAGAAATATTAAAATGGTGGATTTTTTTTTGTTTTTTAGCCTCAACAGTCTCCTCTAGATAACTGTTCTAAGTGCCATTTCATTAGTAATTAGAGTGGCATTCCAAGGATGTCAGGAGAGTGATCCCACAGTTGGGTAGCTTTATGTTTCTTCATCTTTTATCTTCTTTACTATTATTATTGTTTTGAAACAGTATAATTAGCTCTGTAGGGAAGCATGCAAAATGCACATATGTGCTAATACAGAAAAGATAAATGCATTTTAAAGAACCATTCTCTTGTATTTTTATTGTAATCGAGTTACCTCCGATGACACTGGTCTGGAATTTTACCAACAGTTTGAGATAGCAACAATACTTTCACTGTGTAAAATTAAAAATACAGCTAGCAATAAGGTAATTTCTTATCAAACCTTACATAGAAAAAAATTCTTCGAACCTTTACATTGAAGATAATGTTGACTCTGATAACCCATGTGGTTATAAATGAGAATGATATTAGTTTGAGCTCATTCATATTAAGGTATTTCTTAGTTCTGCCTCTGCAATCCAAAATGAGTAGAAATGAACCCATTTTTCTACAAATTTATATTAGTTCAAACGATCAACCTAAATATCCTTAGTTACCCAGTGACTATTATTTTATCTAGTCTACTTGCTGACAATCAGCACAGGGTTAGGGTGTACTTTACTGATGGCAAGCAGAAAAATCTACTTTAAAAAAGGAAGATCTTTGTAGATCACTTTACCCTTGAAACACTAAAAAGGAACAACTTGTTCCATCAGTGACATAACCACTAAGGAGGAAAGTTTTTCTAGACCATTCTTATCATTCAGAATTTTCATGTACTAAAGAATGTTTATCTTCTCCTCTGAACATTTATAATGCAAATCATATTTACTTGTAAATAGCATCTACTAGCAAAAGTCAACATAATACCAAAGATTTATTGCAAGTGTTGCCCTAGTTTAAAGTTTTATGAACTAAAAAGATGGTAAAACTTTATAGATGGTCATTTTGAATTTTAAGTAACTTTTAGCAGCTAAGCTATAACTCCAAATCTGTGGTAGCAAGAGGGATAGTTATTTTAGAACTTTAGGTACAAGAAATCCAGTTTGAATCCATTTCTAGGCAACACTGCTTCAAAGACTTAAGGACCAGGTTAGAAAGGGTCTGTTCCCTTTTAAGACCACCAGCTGCACAAGAATGGAAATCTTATGTTTTATTCACTGTGGCATTTGCAGTACTTAGAAAAGACCTTGTTGGCGCTTAGAAGGAACTTGAGGAATATTTGTTGAGATAACTTAATGTTCTGAACATTCTCCTAAGTGATTATTATTAACTTCATTCTGTAGATGAGAAAAAAAAAAGCTCATAGAGGTTAATTATTTTGCCTAAGATCACTCAGCTACTAGATCCAGAGGGAGGATTCAAAACAGATCTGTTTTGAATCTGCCTCCAAATCCCATGTTGTTGTTCTTTTTTTTTTTTTTTTTTGCCTTAGCATTGTATTTTTCAAATATAACAGAGTTGAATAATCTTAGAATCATAAGCCTGTGCATGATTGAAGATCACGTATATTGTTTCCCACAGACGAGAACTATTTTTTGGTTGGCCCCCCCAAGGAACAAAGAGTTCTTCACTCTAATAAAATTAATTTTACTCACCCTTACCTCCTGTGATTATCTGAATAATCATAAATGACAAAGTGGGCTACTATAAAGTCAGAACCCTCTAGTGGTTTGATGACAGCTACAGAGGACTGGAGACATAATCAAGAAGCACCTGTTTCCTCTCACCCCAATACTATTTAAAACCTGAGTATTCTCAGGTAGGTGTAGGCTCACTTTGGATAAACAGAGGAAATAAACAGTGGGGTAAACAGTGGGGGCTCCCAAGACTTGTATTGGGTTGTTCTTTATATAGACTGTTGCTGTGGTTTTTGGTGTGGCTTGTTCCCAAGGGATCCTGTGTTGGGAGGCTTGATCCTGGGAGTACAGGTGGACCTTTAAGAGGTGGAGCCTAGTGACAGGCCCTTAGGTCATGGGAGGTACACTTGGAAGGGTTGTAAGACCCCAGACTGTCTTTCTCTTTGTCTCTAAAACTTCTTGTTTTTCAATAGGAGGATGCTATTCCTGTACCATATGAAAATAATTTCTTCCTTGGAGGCAAAGCCTGGTTTTGAATATGAGGTGTGACCAGTCTAGTTGGGTAACAGAGCTGGCAACCTGGGGTCCACTTTTCTGCATCAGCAGGACACAGGCAGCCTCTGAGAGTGTGCTCATGGTTAAGGGTGCATCAGATCACCAAGCAAGCTTGCTTTTGCTTTCACAGTTGTCAGGATATCTAGATTTTCTGATATCCCTAAGACAACTAATGATCAAAAATATAAGGTCAGCTGTGTAGGTATGCATGGCACTTGCGTATGTATGCATGTGTGTCAGTGTGGACCTGCAGTCTTATGGGCACCCAGGTTTCAGGCATGCTGGAGACATGACAGGGCCTCCCAGAGAAGATGGGGTGAGAAAGAGTCTCCATGAGGTCCACCACAAACGGAAATAATATGAAAAGCCTCCCTAGGATGAAAAAAGTCATACACTCCAGGTTGTAACTTGGATGCTTGTTGTTTTTTTTTTTCCATCCTATTAAAAATAGGAAATCTGTATTTGTACATAAAGTAAGAAGGAATTTCCCAGTTTTTAAAATAAGGCCCATTGCATTAGCAAAGTAATATTTAAAGTGATAGAAGGGGTGACATCAGAAAACAGTGATATCACAAAACACTGGCTGATTCCAATCTTGGGCAAAGTTCTGGGCTCCCTCAAAAGTCCAGTGCTTTATGAGTACAGGAAAACACTACATAGGGTGGGGGCCTGTGCAAAATTAGGGTGGATCTTCCCTTGGGGCCAAAAATTTAGAATGTGTTGGTGAGGCAGCTTCCTCTTACAGAGAGACAGAGATGACATCCAGGCATCTTGGAAATAAAAACGATACAGGCTCAGCGGCGAACCTAAAGTTTTACCTCTGAAAATATGAACCAATGTTTTATCCTGAAGCTGTTGTTATTAATTCCACTACCAGTTCAAATCGGCCACTTCCTYCCTAGTACAGATGTTTCAGTGATCAGAGCGACGGAGAGCTGCCAATCTCAAACACTATAGTGTCCTTTTCTGCGGAAGTCTCCAGAATGGAACCTCCTCATGGGACTCCCTCTCCTAAAAGCTGAGGTGTTAGTTTTTTTTTTGGTCATGCCTGTAAACATGATGTAGACTCTCTCTAGAAAGTTCCAGAACATTTTTGATTATGCCTTTTTGGTGCGGTTTTGGGTGTCTGTTCCTGACAGCTCTCAAGTGGGATTGAATTGTTTTTTACACATGAGCAGCTTCATGTTCAAAATGAGGTTAGAAAAACTGTGACCCAGGGTCAAAAGCTCAGGTTCAGATGGAACCAACGTGCATTGCGAGTGAGTCTGTGTGTCTCAGGTACTTCCCAATCTCTTTTTGGCCTAAGTACTAAATTTGGGATTCATTCAGCTCTAACTTTAGCCCCAACAACTATTAGGATATGGTTTTATAATTAGGCCAAATAAATCAAATAATGTCACACATTATAAACAAAGACACACATATCTTTGCA